GTGTTATGGTTTTTTGTTGTTGTTATTGTTGTTCTTTAAACAAACAAGGAAAGATGAATCCTTTGCAGTCTGATGCAAACTAAATTCAGAAGCTTTGGAAGCCTGCAGTGCACTCCAAAAGAGGTGTTATTGCATTACTAGTAGGTAGTAACACAGCACTCTCCAGATGACTGATTCAGTAAAAGTGTCTCAAAGCAAGGTGTATTTTCTTCATGTAAAAATCAAACCTCAGTTAAGCTGAAATATAATGTCATGGCTACACAAGATAAAGCTATGTTTTTTTCTTACATGACACTGAATCAAATCATAGCTGCTATGAAGTGCCATGCTCCATGTGAAAGTGTTAGCAATCAGTGAGCATGGGAATCAAATTAAAAACGCCCAGCAGAGCATGAAGGCATAATGCAAAAACAAGCATACAAAAACCCCAACAGATTGCTCTCTGGAGGGAAAGATGCCACAAGTGCAATAATATCTCACACCAAATCATGGCACCACGTGTTCCTTTTAACAAAATAACCACCATCTCTACAGCACGCAAAGGAATGGAAAGGCAAAAAATGCACCATGGTCATGCAGACAGAAGAGAAAGCTCTCCTGAGTAAGCTTTTGCTAAATTTAATGGCACCAGAAAGTGTCAAAATTTCATGGAATCATAGAATTATTAAAGTTGGAAAAGACCTCTAAGATCATCTAGTCCAACTATCTGCCTAAGAATGATATTGTCCACTAAACCATGTCCCTGAAAGGGCATTCTACCACTAGCTTTGGGTACATTATTTGGTCCAGCTGCTTTTAAAGGGGACATCCACAGTGTATGTCCATGCAGAACTGAATGAGAAGGACTTTGCTCCTTCACCATTTTGCACTGCTGTGCTGACACACAGCGATGGCTGGGCCTGCACAGCCACATGTGCTACCAAGGTGGCTCCTTGCCTACATCCCTGTTGCTCTCTTACTGGCAGAAGTTGGATAAAAAATATCTGTCTTGTCTCTAGCCATGCTGAAGCAGTAGGTCCTTGGAGAGTTGACTTGGCTTGAGTGAATCAGAAGGGAACTGCACATCTGTGGGGGAGTAGTGACTATCTGTGAATAACAAGTCTGTTGAGCTGCAAATGTCAGATGAGTTCATTTCCAAGCTGAAAAAGAAACATTACTTTTGTTTCTGAAACTGTGAAACTTTTTTTCTGAAACTTTTCTTCCCTCTCCTTCACGTCTCTAAATGTTAACTGTACCCAAACCCACATCAGAGACAAATCAAAGCCGTAAACTTCACTGCAACAGGTTTTATGCTGTGTCTGTTACAGTCTGTTCTCCCCCAAAAGCAAAAACATACAGAGCTCTTGAAAAATATCCTCCAAGCAATGGATTACATAACATGCACATGAGGTCAGCCCGGGCTCTGCATGGCCATAAGAGTTCAGCTGTGTGAAGCATATATGTGGAAATTGCCACAAGGTAGGATCCTGTCTCGGGTGCTAGAAAACTCTTCTGATTACACCGGGTTACATTCCTGACAACTTCAGTTTTATACCGCATGAAAACTGGAGCTTGAGGACAGCAAGTGTTCGGTTAGCCAGAAGAGGGAGCCTGTGCAACTGGGAACGGGGACAAGGAGCAATTCGAGGTCAAATTCCTTCCTGTGGTCAAAACCGCCTCTGGCTGTTCCTCAGACAAAGCTACAGAGCATACCAATGGCCGAGGTGGATGAGTAAGGGAACTCAGCAAGACCAGAGAAAGTAAAATGTGCATCTTTTGTTAATGCCAAAGAAAGTAAGACTACCGAGACGTGGTAAACTGTTCCTTTAGCTCTGTCTTTTGGCATCAGCCAGTGTTTTGGAAAGCCAAGAAGAAGTAATACCTGTTAATATGAACACCTAAGTGTGCAAGTAATGACCGTGTGCGTCACGTGCAGGGCAGGACCCCCGAAGCCTGTTCCTGTGTGGTCAGTGATGTTTCCTAGGATTGAGCCAAACACATGACAAGAACTATTAAATATTCCCTGCCTGCTTCTCACAGCAGCGGTCCCAAGACTTCACAGCACACAGACAGTAAAACAACGTGCACTACTTGGGAACTGCTTTTAGTGGGAACTGCAATACAGCACCTGAACTTTTGGTTGGTTTTGAAGATGCAAATTGATGTGATAAAATCTGATTGCATATGGGGTGCTTATGAGACTCTGCAACAGACAGCAGCAGTCCCTCCAGGAGCCTCACTGATGCTGGGTTTGGGGCCATGTTTTGAACAGAAAATGAGATTTCAATGGTATAAAAAAAGGTAAAACCATCAGAAAAAACACAGGTTTTAAAGCAGAGCTTTTAAAAAATTACATGTTAGTGACAGATTAAAAAAGGCTCCACCGGACTCTGGACAAATTGGTGAGGAAAACATAAGATTTCTAAGCAAAGCAGTGAGGTTCCCACAATAGTAGCAGCAACAAAAGATCTCGCTGAGTGCAGGACGCAGCTTGATCAGCTCTCAGGAATGCCCGAGTTTCAGTTCCACGCTCCTACTCCCTTTCTTTGATGAAGTACAGCAAAGATCCCACGCAATGGAAGCTCCAAGGCCTACATTAATGATGAAAGAGTGCAGGATGAAAGATGGAGGGCTCTCTGATGTGTCCTAAAGGCACTGGCTTTATTATCAGAAAGCACCAGCGCTAAGAGTAGTTAGTTACATGACAACCTACATCTATCTCAGTAGGACCAGAAATGGGGAATCTAAGGTCAGATTCCCAAAGAAGACTCCTGGGTTTTACTTCTCTGCCCAGTAAACTCCTGAGCATTGCAGGTGCTTGTTAATATTTTTCCTTTTTTGGTGCTCTCTTAAGTAGATTTCACAGTTTCTTTATTAAAACTAAACAATCTTTTTCAAAAACCTACAACAGACAAGTTGTTCGAGCTGTTAAGCATGGCTGGATTAAGCACAGCACAAAAGATTATGCCTTGGAAAAACACTCCTGTTAGAAAACTTTTGATCACGAGTTTGCAATTTTAAAAGTGTAATTAGGAAAAAAAAATAAACAAATGATTCCTAGTAATCATGTTGTGAACAAAAACACTTTAACAAGGATTCCTGAGTTAAAGCTGAGTCCATATTTCTTTAATAAGTTAATGTGCACTTTTAGAAACCTGTATGTGATGTTGCAAAAGCTTCAGAAGCCTGCTAAATAGAGAAGCTTCCTCATTTATGTTGCAAGCCCTTGGGTGTTTAATGTATAGCACACATTAAATCTGTGCAGTCTGGCCATAATTTTCCACCTGCTCATTTCCCTTAAAATGCTGCGAATCAGCTTATTTGAGCAGTCCAAGAGAAGACAAAATCCAAACAGAATATATACAGCTTTGATTTCATTGGCACAGTGGTATGAAAATCATAGAATCATGGAATCGTAGAATCATGGAATCATGGAATCATAGAGTCATAGAATCATAGAGTCATAGAATCATAGAATGGCCTGGGTTGAAAAGGACCACAACAATCATTGAGTTTCAACCCCTGCTACATGCAGGGTTGCCAACTACCAGACCAGTTTAAGACCATTCCCCCTTGTCCTATCACTATCCCCATAAACAGCCATTCCCCCTCCTGTTTGCATGCTCCCTTCAAGTATTGGAAGGCCACAATGAGCTCTCCCCAGAGCCTTCTCTTCTCCAAGCTGAACAAGCTCAGTTCCCTCAACCTTTCTTCATAGGAGAGGTGATCCAGGCCCCTGATCATCTTAGTGCCCTCCTCTGGACCTGCTCCTGGGTCTCCACACTTTCCTGTACTGGGGGCCCAGGCCTGGACACGGTACTCCAGATGGGGCCTCACAAGAGCCGAGTAGAGGGGGACAATCACTTCCCTCTCCCTGCTGGCCACCCATTTTTTAATACAGCCCAGAACACAGTTGGCCTTCCAGGCTGCAAACACACACTGAGGTTGAGAGGTTGCAATTGTCTTTTTGCAGATGAAGAGCAGGATGGTTATGTCAGGAGGCTCACAGTGGTGGAAATGCCCACTAGAGCTAACTGAGGACACACGACATGGTGGCTGGTGCCATGGGGATGAGGTTTAATGGGTTCAGTGGTGATGTGTTGATGGTTGGAGTGCATCCTCTGCCAACCATCCAAAATGCTCAGTGTCCCCATTACCTGCAGGGAACACGTGGCTCTCCTTACTTTGTACTCTGCCTTTCCTTGTGAGGCTAGAAAGCAGAAAATTAGCTCTCAGCCCTAATTTCTGATGGGGATCCAGGGAACCTTTTCTGTGAGTTGCACAGTCTGACAGCACCCAGTGCTCCGATGGGCTGAGCAGGGCCCTGGCTGTGGGCTGTGCCCAAGGCTGCCATGCCAGCACTGCTCACCATCCCATCACAAAGGACGAAGTCATTCCCACAAGCTGAAGACAGCTGTTTCAAATAACTCCACTGCATTTCCCAACATCCCTGTCCATTCTATAAATCTGTACCAAACCACCTCCTTTTCCTTTAGTCTTGGTTACGAGAATGCAGAGTTAAACACTTCAGGATTTTTGGCAAGACAGGATTTTGTGAATTACTGTCACCTCTCCTTACACCAAGCTGCGAGGATCGAGTTCTGGCTTAGCTGCCTGCCCAGAAGTTGCAGGAGGTGCTCACAGGTGGCTCTCGACCAAAAGTTACCGATGTTCACATTCCTTCCGCACACAGATTCCTTAAAAACCCCAACTTGGGCACAGACAGTTGGAACCACAGAACCACGGCATCAGAAGGGACCCACAGGGATTACCGAGTCCAACTCCAGGCATCACAGGACCACCCAAAACCCAAACCGTATGTCTGAGAGCACTGCCCAAACACTCCTCAAACCCTAGGAGCGCGTTCCACGGTGCAGAACCTCTCCCCGTGCCCAACCTGACATCCCTGTGATGCAGCGGGTTTTTGGGACCGTGCTGCCTCGCACCCCCAGCCAGGGGCACGCAGCACAGGTGAGGCCGAGCTGCCCTCAACTCAGGCACAACGCGAGGCCAATACTCACCCCAGCTCCACGCGCCCCTCGGCGAGGTAACTGTAGCATCTCCCCAGGACGATCTCCCGCAGGTTCCTGGTCGTCCCCCTGCCCTGCCACCTCAGCGGCTCCGGGCTCGCCTCCTCTTTGCGCCCCGTGAGGGCGGAGGCCAGCACGGCGGCCAGGACGAGAGCGATCAGCAGGATGGCGATGCCGGCCAGCAGCACGCAGCGCTGCCGCCTCCGCGCCGAGCCGCGCTGTGAGGGCATGGCGAGAGGGGCGGCGGGGGGACGGCGGGTACCGAGCTGCGGCCCGGCGCCTCCCCTTCTGGCGGCCGGGCTCCAGCACCCAGGCGGCCCACCGCCCGCGGGCAGCCCTGCCGCGTTTCTTAGAGAGAAGCCGCTGTTCTGGCTGCTGCGACTTCTGCTCGCGGTTTTGACTCTCCGGGTCGCAGTTCTGAACTTTTGCCTCTCGGAAGTGAATGTCCGAAAGTCAGTCACAAAAGCGAAACTCCTCGAAGATTTGTTTAAATAAAGATTCCCCTTGCGGCCACCCGTGAATGAGTGAAACCCGAGTTAGGACGACCACAATCTAGTTTCTCGACGTTAGTTTGCTCCTAAATGGCAGGCATTGAATCCCATTTTACCAGTTAATCGTTAACTTTACAGCAGTAATGAAAATATAACTTGGGTCATCAACAACGGCAGGCTTGGTTTATCATCCCATGAGAAATTAAGAAAGAAGGAAATAATCTCAGTCCTGCAGATGGCTTTGGTCTGGTTGTCACGGGGATTTCCCAGGAAAACAACAGCGCACATTGAGGTTTCTGAGATGTTGAGAAATAACATAAGGTATGGCTCTGCAGGGAGGAAGTTCCTTCTCTACACAGGGCAATTCTGCTGCCTTAAGTCAGAAACCAGCATAACAAACATAAACTGAAATAAACTAAAAATAGACAACTAAAAATAGACAAAACTTCTGTATGTCCCCATAATGTTAACTATAAATCGTTAGTAATCACAAAGTGTCTGTCTTTAATGGGTTCTGTGTGAGAAAGGGCATTTGTGACACAGCTCCTGTAGGTTCTAAAGACCTGAGAAATGCTCTGACAAAGCCTTCAGTGGTAAGCATATATTAACCATATAAACTTATCTTTGTTTTGAGATCTTATTTTCAGAGATACTGACCTTGGGAGAGTTCTTCTCGGAACTAAAGTTTCAGTTCTGAAGCAGCGTATCTCTTCCTAACCTCGACAGATAGGTCAGGTGAGAGAGCCAAGAAAATGCTGCCATGCACCTTCCTTCAGCTGAAAAACTGAAGCTGTCTGGCTTACCATCACAGAAAGAAGTTAAATAGCTATTGCTAATGCTTGTTTTCACAGAATCACTGAACCAAAGGGGTTGGAAGGGACCTTTGGAGATCAGTTCCTCTGCTGAAACAGATTCTCTACAGTATGTTGCAAAAAATATTGGTAACGATAAAAACATGTGAAAGATTTCCTATTTGTAAATAGGAAAACTGAATTAAACTCTCTACAGTATGATAGCTAAGGTTGCCTGGATGTGATCTATGGATGGACCCTCAGTGGAAGTTCTGGGATGAGGGCAGGGGTTTCTTCCCATATACCAGTGAGCTCACAAAGGAAATTTTTTCTCCAAATCTTTTCAATAAGCTTTTGGTTTTTGCTTTGGCAGCCCCAGGTTACTGCTCTTTCCTTGTTCCTTGTTTACATCATGGATAATACAGGTATTTGCATCTGAACGTTATGATTGTTTAATAAATTATACACACAAAGTTGTCCACTGATGATAATTTTCTGATTCAAGTATTGAACAGACAGACCAGAAGTGAAGTGTTGCTGGACCTCTGCTTGCCATTGCGGAGGAGATCATTAAAGGCACTAAGGTTGAAGGCTGTCTGGGCTGCACTGACCATGCCCTAGTTGAGTTTGTGATCTCAAGGACTCTGAGCCTGGCAAAGAGTGGGGTCAGGACCCTGAACTTCAGCAGAAAGAACTTTAGGCTGTGCAAGGAATTGTTGGCCAAGATCTCCTGGGGTGCTGTCTTTAAAGTCAAAGTGTTGAGGAAAGCTGACTACTCTTCAAGGATGCCTTTCTGAGAGCACAAATGCTCTCCGTCCCTCTGAAAAAGAAAGCAGGCAGAGGGGGCAGGAAACCAGCATGCCTCAGCAAGGACCAGCTGGACAGGCAAACTAAGAGGTAAAGAAAGCTATATACAAGCTGCAGAAACAAGGGCATGTCACATGGGAAGAATACAAGGATGCAGTCTGGACTTGGCAGACATGGGATCAGGAAAGCCAAGGTGCAGGCAGAACTGAACTTGGCAAGGAATGCGAAAAACAGTATGAAGACATTCTACAAATACATTGGCCAGAAGAGATAGGCCAAAGCAAGTGTACCTCCTTTGGTAAATGTAAAAGGAGAACTGACTGAGTGGTGTGGTTGACACAGTGGAAGGAAGGGATGCCATTCAGAGGGACCTCAACAAACTGGAAAGGTGGGCTTGGGTGAAACTGTTGAGGTTCAACACAGCAAAGTGCAAGGTTCTGGGCTTGGGCCGGAGGAATCCCAGGCATCCATACAGATTGGAGGGAACAGTCCTTGAGTGCAGCCCTGTGAAGGACATGGGGATCCCGGTGAATGAAAAACTTAACATGAGCCAGCAATGTGCCCTTGCAGCTTGGAAAGCAAATGGTATCCTGGGCTCCATCAAAAGAGGGGTGGCCAGCAGGGACAGGGAGGTGATTGTCCCCCTCTACTTGGCTCTTGTGAGGCCCCATCTGGAATAAAGTGTCCAGGTCTGGAGCCCCAAGACAAGAAAGACAGGGAGCTGTTGGAGAGGGTCCAGAGGAGAGCCACAAAGATGATCAGGGGACTGAAGCACCTCCCCTGTGAAGATAGGCTGAGGGAGCTGGACTTGTTTAGCCTGCAGAAAAGAAGGCTGTGGGGTGACCTCATTGCAGCCTTTCAATACCTAAAGGGAGCCTATAAACAGGAAGGGAGTCAACTCTTTGAGGGGGTAGATAACAGCAAGACAAGGGGAAATGGTTTTAAGTTGAGGGAGGGAAGATTTAGTTTGGATATCAGGAGGAAGTTCTTTACTGTGAGAGTGGTGAGGTACTGGAACAGGCTGCCCAGAGAGGTTGTGGATGCCCCGTCCCTGGAGGTGTTCAGGACCAGATTGGATGGGGCCCTGGGCAGCCTGGTCTAGTATGAAATGTGGAGGTTAGCAGCCCTGTCTGGGGCAGGGGGGTGGGAGCTTCATGATCCTTGAGGTCCCTTCCAACCCAGGCCATTCTGTGATTTAATGAGTTTTCCCCAAAATGTTTCTTGCATGTGTTTTCAACTTGCTGCAGTTCAGTTTTATTAACTAAGGAAATGTCACATTGGAAAAACAGAAGTTGTTATCCAAAACAATTTACACAATGAAACTGCATTCTCCGCTTGTTCTAGGTATTGAAGATGCCTACCTTCAGGAAGTCTGAAATCAGTTTCTTTTTGAGTGGCACAACTGGAATAGTTAAAGTTTAAAACTTTTTAAGAGAGTTGTTTATCAATAACCTGTTATGAGAAAACTTTTCCTTCTTTTCTGATTTGGTTTCAAATTGTTAAGAATAAATAAATGAGGTGAGTACAGGCTGAGTTGCTCTGAAAGCTGATTTTGCTGCTGGTTTGTAACTCCTCAAGCTGTGTAAAGAATGGAGCAGATAAGTAAATGCCAAGCCTCCTTTCAGCAAGCCTCTGCTGCCTGATCAGCCTGAGTAATAGCACCAAGCAGAGATGAGGGGGTGGCAGGAAGGCCAGCGCTTCAGAAAATGGTTCTTTCTTTCTCAATGTGAATGTGAGAATGAACTCACTCCTTGCAAATGTTCTGGCACAAGAGGGTTTCCAGGGTAGGCATAAGTAATGCAATAACTGTCACTGTGGCGAAGTGCTCATGGATCTGTGTGCTTCTCAGGCTGGTGTGCCAGCAGCTACGTGTGCCTTCTATCAAGAAGTTGACAATTTTAGGTAGTGCCATGTCTGATAAAACTTCAGGATTTAGACCCCTTGGAGCTATGTGAATTTCCAAGACAAGGCTAAATTAATACTGTTCTAGGCAAGGTGTGTCTGTTTTTCTGCCAGTTTACACTGAATCCCTGGGAGGATCAGAAAGTGGGCATAAAAGATTAGAAGACAGACATGCTTTAAGCGTGTGCCAGTCTCTGCTTTGATACCATGTAGCAGCAGGAGGCTTCTGTAAGAATGCAACTATATCATGCATAATTTACTAGCCTGCATTAGTACTGCTAAGCATATCATAAGAAAAAAGCAGCTGGTTTCCACTGCTCCCTGATGGATCACATTTTTGACCCAGCAGAGCACAAACAACCCCCAGCCATCCCCAGCAACCCATTCACTTACTATTTAGCATCTTACTTCAAGCACAGACAGTCCTGGCACCAAAATATGGCTGAGGACACAAATCCTTCATGAAAGAAATATCTGGCAGCAGGGTAGGACCAAATAACACTAACTGCAAGTATGAATAAGAAAAAAAATATGTTGTGCATCTTTTCAGTGCCCTGGGTTAAAACTCACCTCTAGAAAATGTTTTTTTTTTTTTCTTCAGTTTCTTCAGTGAGTAAAAAGTTTGATAGAATTTGATTGTATCCTGGCTGTTCCTCATGATGTTCTGTTTCTCACGTGAGTGTGCTCTGTTAGAAATAACATCACTGCCTTTAATGGGATTAAACTTAGTTATATTAGCACTGAAGTTCTCTGGATGGTAGGAAATAGGCTGCTCCAAAGGCTACAAAATCAGGTTAGAAATCATGAAGAATCATTATAGCATAATGCTCTGGATTATGAGGATAGTACACTAGGCACAGTGCCACTAATAACTGTGGACACCTGTAATTGCTAGCTGTCAGTGCCCAGCAGAACTTCAGAATAAGGGAATTTGAACTGAAAAGAGCAAAGCTTTTAAAATAATTGAAGAAATTATTCCTTTCCTTTTGTTGAAATAGCAATGACTGTTCTTTTCATAGCTTCCTGGTTTCACAGGGTAACTGCTGTCATAACATTTAGAGAAGGCTGAGATGAACACTGAAAATGAGAAATGGGCTGAGGTAAGTAGAACAGCGAGTGCAAAGTGACAGCTGTGAAGAGCATCACGCCATCCAGCCCTGCACCCACTACCGTGAACAAAGCTTCTGCAACAAGGTGTCTCAGCACCCAGACATCTCTGCCATGCCTTCTGACAGAGCC